TGCTCGCCTTTTTACATCTAATGCATAGGTAAAAATGCTACTTACCTACCACTTTTTTCTGTCCCCGATGTCACATATTTCATTTAGTTTAATGCACTAACGCTTTCCCCTCGATTTTGCTCCTACTCACCTCCTCATTGTTTGCACAATGTGGCCTCCCGGGAAGAGGGCTTTTCCTCCCTCACAAATTGGGAAACAAAACTCGCAAGCATTAGCAAATATAAAAGCAACAGAGTAAGTGACTTGAATGAGACACCCCCACCCCGCCCAGCCCCCACCTTTCACCCCTCTCCTCCGTTGATTGTGAAAATGGGTAACAGGTGCTCCTTTGTTATGATGTGGACACATGCCTGACAGGTATTTTTCTAAAGAATGCCCCATCATTTAGATTGGTCGTGAGGAGTGAGATGAGCTGCAGATTACTTAGAATGTGCACATGAGAATGGGGATTGGCATATCGCCCTCCCCTCCCGTCAATGCGTAGGATCAATTTAACTTGGCCGGACAGTGAAGCTGTCATTCAAACAAAACGCTTGCAAACTTGCCTTAGTGTGCGCCTAAAACTTGAAAAAGAGCCTCGGGCATGCAAGGATCCACTGCTGCGGCTGAAACACCGTAGGCTAGCTTACCTCACTATCACTCCTACTTGTCATCTTGACTGACGGTATCCGGAGTGGACGGGTCTACGACATAGACATGGAGAACGCGTTTGGAACTGTCCCATGAGCGTACTATCGCAACAGTACACGGTTTGCGATTCCCTGGCAGGTTGATTTAGGTCTCCTTCATGTAGAACTTTGGGCACGTCATCTAAACTGCCAGCCTGCCGGATCCTCAAGATACCAGAGAGAGGACAGCTTTGACACTGACATATACTGCAACATCTTCGGGCGTAGCTGGTGCCTTTCACTTACTGGAAAGGTTGAGCGTGCCTTCTCCGGCTCGTCAAGAGATGCTTAGGCCTAAGTGGATCGATTAAGGAGGGCATAAAAACCCGTCGAATAATGTCACCTCTGATGGTTGGCTAAATATGGATCTGCTCACAGCAAAAGTGCCATCAAAGCTACATCATCAAATACTCAATTTACAGCTGGTTTTGGAAGTCCAATATTCAGTGAGTACAGTAGATTTATACGTATATAAGCTGAAAATACTGGCAACACTGCTACACTAACAATGAAAAAATGTGGAGACTCTGAAAATGGGATACGGCCTTGTGTTGGAGAATGCTGGGAATAACCCAGATAGACGGCTATGTACCACTAAAACCACAACAAATTGGAAGGGTGAATTGAAACCAAATCGAAATACTAAGGCTTGACTTTAGATTACCAAATTAATATGACGAGTTTCACTTTAAGTCAAGTATCCCTACTCAGAAAGAACCACTTCTTGTGACTAGTGGATTATGCCAGCAGAGAGAACACGAGCCAGGCTTACGTTTGCTTTAGAATAATCAAAATCTATATGCTCCATTATTATTCGATGAACAACTTCTTTATTTTACAGTCATAAACAACACCAGGTAATTATATACGCGATACTAGTAGTACCAGTTTTCAAAATATTTGACTTTATATCAAAACCAAATATCCCCAACGGTAACGTTGGTTATTAATTAAAACTTCTCAGGTTCGCAAACAATTTTTAACTGAGTACAAATTTAGGTGCATTGTAAAAAATCTATCAACAAATCCACGTTTATCTCATTGATAGAAATTGTGTAAAAAGTGTTCTACAAAATTTTATTGCCCCGGATAATTTGTACAAAATAAAAAGCGGATTTATTTCCTTTTTGTACTTCTGCATTGGTCTTAACTGTCACTGACACCGAAAAAGAAAATAAAGTTATCCCATAAAAACTAGGAACTAACCTGTTGGGCAAGAAAACAAGCTAGGGGAAGTTTGTTTACGCGCCCTAAAATTGAGGATCTGACAGATTGATAGGAGTTGGTGAGAGTCTGCCAGACGCTTATGGCAAAGTAACACCCTCGTAAACACCTTTCAGTCACTCAGTTGTGAGTGATCCATGCCAAAAAAGCTTTATTAAGAAATAAATGTCTGTTAAGTCACCTGAAAAAGTTGAAGGCCGGGGGTTAGGTTTTCGAAAAACCATTTAGGCATTAGCATTTGCAAGGTTGCTTGCATAATTTTCACTCAACTTATTTACTCTCAATTAGATACCGACGTAATCCGTTTGCAAGAACTAGTTGGCATGGTCTGTATGGCAGCTCTTTTGATCATTACAAGGTTGCGCGCTACAAATCTCTGGATTTCTAGGGACTTCTCCATATGTGCGTCATTTCGTAATGTGCTTTTACGCGTGAAAATTAAAGTCTCTGGCAAACTAGAAAATCAGTGTCTTTAAACCATTGAATGGGCAAAAGAGATGGGGAATTTACAGAACTATAGTAGGCTTTTGACTCGATGCAGTGGACATGACAAGGGAAGCAAGAATAAGGTCAACCTTCAGGCAATTGAAAAGAAGCCAGCGGTTTTCAGCCTGGCCCCCTGCAATGGTGTGCTGTAGCCTGTAGAAATTTGTAGATTACCCACAACTATTCTTGCACGTTCATTATTATACAAAATTCGTTGCGGGATTCCCGTACCCACCTTTACTTTCACAGTAAGAAATTAACGTAAAGCGGTATTTTAATGCAGCCGCACAGTATTTTGGACTCAAATTTTAACACCGGTACAAATATGATTGCAATTGCAAAGAGTTGGGTTAACATGAGCTGAGGAGAATCTAAAGTTTTCGCAAATGTTATGCCTCAAAAATCGGCTTTATTTTTTTCTCACTTAAACAAAGTGGCCATTTTGCGTTTTTGAGAGGCTACACCATTTGTCACCCACTCGACTAGCAGTTAAACAGGGCACTCGGAAAGGGAGGCTGGTAATTCCCCAACAGGAGGCAGAGCAGACGGAGGGAGCAAGGACAGGGGGAAGGAGGAAGGAAGGGGAGGGGGAAGGGGGGTGAGGGAGTGCGGCTATGTCTTTTGACAAGTGACAATCCTTAAAAAAACGAAATAAATTAGCACATGGTATTCGCCTCTTTAAACAACTTGTTTCTCCCAGTTTATGAAATCGCACTCCTAATTTAACGGAAAATTCTATGCTATTTTCGTGTATCCACTTATGTTTATGCTAGTTGTTGTGGCCACAGGAAGTGCTGACGAAGGGGGTTGGCAGACCATTTTTTATGTCTGTTAAGCATTTTAAAGTTTCATATCTTATCGGCTGCGATGATCGTCGAGAAATAGATGGATGAACAAAGAAATGAAAACTAAAAAATCTTGATTGACTTATGGATGTGCCAGTCCAAATGGGGTTATAAAGATGCCATTTACTACCTTATTCCAAAAAATTTCTTTTAAACCAGACTGATGATTCCTTATCATCCCGAGGTCTTTATTTAAAGAAATTTTATTTTGCAACTTTCATCCACATCTTCTGTAGTAGTAGATTAGGATTTTCATTCCTCTATTTAAATTTATAACCCTATAATTTATTTATCCTTTACTTCCGACTCAAACTTTCGTAAAAATATAAAGGAGCCCAATTCAGCTGGAATAATGGGAGTCCACAAAGATTAATATTAATTCCGTGGTTTCAGTTCTTTCTCCTCAAAGGGAATAAATATAAAAATTTGAGATTTTTTTATGCGAATCACATGATCTATTCGTATTGTAGAGCTCTAAGACTTTCCTGAAGACGACCGAGAACATAATACTCGGGCGGAATGTGTACTGTCGACGTGCAGGGGGACTTGAGGTAACTGGCATGGTGCGGAGGCCAGGCCGCCCGGCGTAGGTACAAAGACAGAGTGTCTAAGTAAACCTGTTACCAAAACTGAGAGTTAAACTGACAAGAAAAGTATTACACGCATAACAAAATGACCTATACCCTGCCGCCCCGATTTTCTTTACCTCTTTGTGGTATGGCGTCTCGCTCATGCCTACAACCCTATGGTCCAACAATACATTGATAAAAAATCAGATTCCTCTTTGAGGTGACTCACGGTGTCACATTCCAGGAGCCTAAAAAGCCTAGGAAAAGAATAATAGAGCATTTGCAATCCACAAAGACATGAAAGATTTCAAAACCCAATTGACTGTTTGATGGTCATGATTTATGCCAAAATCACCAGCACTAGTCCTGTTCTGTTAGTAATGGAATCATGAAGGGAAGATGTGTGCTTTACGTATTTAGATGTATAATGGTGCGACAGTACCCTTAACCCTTTGTTTAAGCCACTTAGGTCTTCACAGATTGTGCTCCCACCCAGGGCGTAGCAGTAGCCTTTCAGCACAAATGTATGTTAGTAATATCATAATAAATTAGACTTTTAGCTTCTCAACCTCGCGCTTCATTCTCCTGGAGCGAGTGGACTCTTTGGGTTATATTAAGGCAGGACACAGAGGTCTCGAGAACTCACGTTCCGAGGATAAATCTTTTCATAAATGGATAGTATACATTCCATCACGAGGTTTGCGTTTACTAAATGCTTTTCACCGAAATGATGCAATCAGGAAGGCATATATCACAACGTATTTTCTGCCACATTGCAGTAAATTCACACCAATTCGGAGGAAGTTCAGAGTGCTACATTAAAAGCAAAAAATATAGTTTACAAAAGGATTCAGACAGTAAAACTAGTAGTGGCTATTTGGACTATGCTAGAGTACTGAACAAATTACATAAATTAAATGAATTGGGTTAAAACAGCACCGATACTAATAAATTTGAGAGCTTTGCCCAATAAAAAAATGAGATACAAACATATTTTTAGCAATTTAACTGCAAATGCTTGACTTACTTCACAACTTATTTTATTCGAAATGGTAGAATGCAATATTTGTTCTAAAATAGTCAGGTGAAGTTTCAGAGAACAAAAAAATTTACAGACATACGGAATGAAAAGCAAAGTAACAAAGGACCTTACAGGCTTCTAAACATATTTTTTAGCTCTGACAAATCCTAGTGAACCGTTTGAGCGGATGGTTTTAGGTTCCAGGCGTTTTAAACTGCGGTTGGGAATGGTAAGCCAATTTTCTGTATGAGGGTTATTTTTAGTATTTCATTCGCCTGATTCCACGTGTTTGTCGTCCATCTGTCAGCAGAGGCATTTCCACCTCCTCAAATCTGTGTGCGGAGCTTTACCTTACTTTTGCGTGCCCACGTTCTGTCTTTTACAGCAATGTCGAGGTTAAGCAGGTAGATGTACCTGGTAGTTCTGGCGCCTTTGGTATTCTTCCGGAGCATGTACCTACTATTGCTACCCTTCGTCCTGGGGTTGTTGGCGTGACTGAGAAGGATGGCGGTGTTAAGAAATATTTTGGTAAATTTATTACTTCATTTTATTGTCATGAGATGTCATTCGATCTGGCTTGAAGTTTTTTATTTTCAACTGTAGTTAGCAGTGGAACGGTTACAGTCAACGCTGACTCTACTGTCCAGGTTTTGGCTGAAGAATGCTTCCCTTTGAAGGAAATAGACGCTCAGCTGGTTCGTGATAACTTGGCTAAAGCTCAGTCCCAACTCTCTTTGGCTTCAACAGAAGAAAAAAAGGTTGAGGCCCAAATTACAATCGAGGCTTATGAGAGTATGCTGGCTGCTTTGTAAATGTAGGAACGTTTTATGAATCTTAGCTAATTTCCTAGACAGTTCCTGCCTTTTTCTGTCTTATCAGTAATATTATGGTTTGGGAAAATTAAACGCGTTTAGGCACAGTGATACCAAGCGTTAAATGATCAATTTTCCATCAGGGGCATAGGTCAGCTTGCAGCTGTGGTTTTAAGTGTTTTAGGTCTTTTTAAGCTAGGCCTACAAGCAGGTAGCACGGTTTTTCTGTGAGATTATGCGTTTTCTTGATCACCTACCTTGTTATCATTCCTAGGTGACTGTGGTGATTTATTTACACATTCAGGCGACTAAACATCAGGTTATTAGGCTTAAATTTTGGGATGGCAAGTTAATTTTCGATACCGTTTTCTTATTCTGCCCTGGAATGTCCGAAGTGTCTAGCCCTGACCCGAGTATTTTTATCTCAAATTCCTGAAACTATAAGAGATTTTGTGTGTTAGTTTCGAATGTTTTTCGTTCCTTTAATGAGGCGAACTTTTGGCACACATTTTCAGTAAAATCACCTGAGACTCACTGAGTCGGCGGGGTGTTGCCAATAGACGAAATCCCTAGTAATATCATTGTCATGAAGTTTTGAATCGCAAGAATGTAGAATTTTTGACGCTGTTTAAAACTAGCGAGAACTTTTCTGTGGACTGATGGTTCAAAATTGAGTTCCGGTCGTAATGGAATGAGCTACTTATCAACACATTGAGATGCATGAGCGCTTATTTCTTCGGTTTGAGGCAGTTTAATACAAATGACAGAGCAGCTTTGTTGATCAACTTTCTCTCAAACAGCAGTGAGATTCCCACAACTCTCAAACGTTTCGTTTGGTGATAAAGTCAAATTCTGGTCGTTACGAGGCCCACACGTCTAATCTTTCTATGGAGTGGTCAGAACACTAAGAACTTCGTTTTTATTTCTTATCACGGGCAAGTAGTACGCACTACGTTTGTCCTACACTAAGAGCAAGGCTTTGAAATTTGTGAGTGCCAAATGACCGGAACGCCGAGGCGGTACACAGGGAAATGCCAATTTCCTTGAAGGTGTTTACGCCAAGAAGTACATTCACTACTCTTGTTCACCGTTTGGCAGACGTAGGTATTCGAGCTAGCAATCCTTCCCACCACGTTCAACTGCAATCACCCCACTTGGGCATACTGGCCAAATAACCGAGGTGACAATACCTAAACTATCAATTTCACCGTATCTTCAGCTTCCAATTTCTCCTAGAAAAAACCAAGCCGACATGCCGACGGCCGTCACCAAACAAAATTCTGTAATTCCTACTGCAAATCCGGTCTGGACTGAGGTCCCATCGCTGAGTGGGATAGAAAACATACCAGTAAGCTGGTGAGCAGGATTGATGTCACTTGGATTACCCAAGAGAAGGTACTTTATTCAGGCGAAAAAATTCATTTATTTTACTGCAATATCAGGATTCTGGTTTTAAATGCGAAGGCCCTGTTCCACAATTTGTATTATCCCCTCAGACGAAAAGGGCCTGAGCGCATTGGATACATCACCTGCAATGTGAATGCGTCAAATTAATTCACAATGCAAAGGGTCCGTTTCTAAAGTAGGAAACAACTTAGCACACCGGAATCACATTCGAGCAGACGGCCACTTCGCCAGCAGATGAACACCAGTTCAGCTATTCGTATCAGAAAGAGTTCTGAGCAGACACCTTCCGCAAAAACTGCACCAAAACGACTAAGCAAAGGTTTAAGTTCTGTGGAGAATTTTAGTCGCCACATAATAGGCACCATGTCCGCGGCCATTCCACTCGAATTCCGCGAATGCTTGCCACGATTCAAGGGAGTTGCAAAATTCTAAAACAGATGCTTGGTATCGACAAATCAAGTCCCAAAAATACTACTAGTAGCAGGGTATCTCACCTCCAGTAATTCACAATGAAGTTCTGCTAAAAGAGAAGCAACGGGTTCGCTTAAATCCTGACTACAGTGGAAGAAACATACACTCAACTCAACCTCGAACCGACGGAAATCAAGAAATACACCGATATCCGTACCAATTTGATGATAAAACTGTTAGCCACACAAGCCCACGTACAGGATGCCAAGCCTCTGCCAAGAGAAGGGGCCAATCCTGCCCCTTGACTTTAGACATATCGAGAAAACGGGGCGGATTGCTTAAAAAGAACGTTTTCCAATCGACTGTAGTCCAGTCCTGACGAACAACCTGCGCAGGACTACTTTTCAGCCAGATAATTAAGATTTCGATCACTAATGGGGGCGGAAATAGCTCCTTCTCACCTACAATTCAATTATATTTGGACATAACCCACCTTGAATAAACGGCGTTGAGTAGGCTAAAGTGACGCCTGAAACGAGAGCTGAGACGAAGAGAGGAGACAAACGAAGGAGATTGATGAAGGGTTTGTCGAATATAGCCGCGTTAGAAAAGTCGGCATTCTCGTGCAAGTCTTTGCAGACTTCTGACATCCCGTCAACAGTCATCAGGCTATCGAAAATGCGCCGAATGAAACTCGAGACTGGTCGAGCAGCTTCGACTAGTCTCTCATCCAAAAGACAGTAATCTTTGGAAGAAGAAAGCGACTGAATCACTAGAAATATTTGCCCCTAAATAGATAATTAAGTAAAAAACAATCACCTTTAACCAGACCGCGACCAAATCGAGCAGAGGTGTCAAACCAACGCATATGGCCAATTGAGTCAGCCTAATAAGAAATTGTTCTCGGAGTGGATTGACGTTAAATCCACAGGGGAAAAGTAGATGAAAAACCATCCTCCGAACCTCTTCTTCACATGTCGTTGTGAAGTGATCAGCGAAGGCGTCCAATAGTTCAAGGGATTCTAGATCATTTGGAACCTCACCATTCACTAAGAATAGCTTATCAAGCATATGCTGAATGGTTTCGAAGTTTATTGTATTGTCTCGACAAGCACATTCAAAGCTCTGCAGCGAGTCCCGGCATGCGGCAGCGATGGCCATAGTGCACCGAAAGATTCCACAATGACAAAGGCTAAATGGTCCCCTCTACCTATCCGTGATTTGCAGTTGATTGCGTCAAGGTAATATACGGTTGTTTATGCAAAAAAAACCAATGGGTTATCATGCCCAAAATTAAACGGGGTAAATCTATGCTACAAGACTGTTTATTATTTGCTGAAAAATTTTATGTTGACTGACAGGTCAAACAAGAATAGGAAAAAGTTATTTATAGGAAATTAAAATCAAATTTAATGTTTATCACACTTTTAAGCCCATAATTACTTTAGCGTTAAACTCAAAATGGCTTATTTTAAGCGCACTTTTATAGTCTGCCTGTGTAGCATTAGCGCCTGGCATTTGAAAAATATCGTCAGAAAATTGAAAATGCACAGCGTTATAACGCAAGGGTAATTTAACACATAAAATTATGTAGCATATATACTTGACGTGTTTTGCCTCTAAAGGGCAAAGATTTTGGAAGCACGAAACTCACAAAGGGTTCTTCACTACTTACGCGTTCTGAAGTGATTTTTGCCCGTAAATCGGACAAAATCCCAAAAGAACCAGTAAAATAAAACTTTGAAATAGTTGGAAACTCAAAACACTCCTAGAATTTTACTCTAGGTTAATCCATGCCTACAAACCGTAACACGTGACAATTCCGCACATTAAAAAGCTGTAAAGCTTGTGTCACCTAGTTTTCGAAATACCCAAAAATGTATTTATGTTTAGAAAATATCATTTTAGATGTTTTTCTTCCAGGGAAACAGTAATACTAAATGACTGCCTAACTCATATGCATTTCTATATAGCTAATTCTCTGAAATGCGCATTTCTGAAGAGGTATTTTCGTAACCTTAAAACCTACTATTTTTCAATTTTTTTCTTCTTTGCTTTGTAAGGAATAAAATAGCGCTTTTTGTATTCTAGGTATGGTGGCACACGTTTTGTTGGTCTTATTTCACAGCATTTCCCGCTGGGCGCTCGCGGCGTGACCATACCGGGCTCGCGGCAGGCTATCTCTGCTGCTATGCTCGCTTTCTTCATTTTAATACTTGCTTGATAACTTCAGAGCAACCAGAAATGCCTGGTCTCGCACTGCAGAAAGGTGACGGTAATGTGACATCTTTAATCACTGATGAGGAGAGTGGATTACTTATACCCAGGGAATACATATGTGGTGGTATTGCATCAATGATTAACGTAGTTGTGGTCTTCCCGTTGCACAAAACAGTTTTCTTCCAACAATTGGAGGGTATAAAGTGGTCCGAAGCATTTATGCGGTTGCGGAGGGAAGGACTGTGGCAAGTCTACCGAGGTGTTGTTCCACCTCTTCTTCAGCGTGCTTCCTCGGCATCTGTGATGTTTGGTTTTCAAAGTCAATCTCAGAGGTTTCTCTACAGGCATCAGGGTAGGATGGATATCCCTCTTTACATCCAAACTATTCTTTCCGCTACGATGGCTGGCTGCCTAGAGGCCTCTTTAACGCCCTTCGAGCGGGTGCAAACGCTTCTCCAATCCTCTAATAAATCACGCATGTACAAGAACACACCTTACGCTCTTTCTAGTCTGTACAAATCCTATGGATTCCGGGAACTATATCGTGGTTTTACCCCGATCCTTCTGCGCAATTGTATCGGTGATATATTATATTTTAGTGGGAAGGAGTGGCTACGTGGCAAGAGTCATTCTGAAGACCTTCCGTTCGGTAAACGCCGTCTGACAGATTTTGTGATTGGTGGGTTCTTGGGCTCCACTATTGGGGCAGCCATATTTCCTTTGAATGTCGTCAAAACACAGATGCAGTCCACTGTAGGTACAGGATCTAAAAGCCTCAGATATGCTCTGCTCAGTCTATTAAACGAACGGGAGCATGCAAAGATTGCTCGGTTGTACAGCGGACTTCCTGCCAATTTCTTTCGGTCCCTGCTCTCATGGGGTGTTATCACCATGATGTACGAGTGGCTGCTTACCTTATGAGAAAGTATTTCCCCTGTCTATCTGCTTTTCTGTACAGTGCAACCGATTCTACACCTTGTCCGCTACTCTCTTAGATTTGGATCGGGCTATTCCCGCAAGTTGTTTTGTATCTTTTGTAATCTATTTTTCAAAAGTAGTCATTATTACTAGTGCTTGTTTTTTACGTTATTTTATCTGTTAACGGTGTCGCATTATAAATTACGAGTTGATAGACAATTTACGAACACAGTACCTCGCTGGCGCTTATTTCGAGTAGTTCCTGTAATTGGTCGGTGATTCTAAGGTTTTTTTTTTAATTGTGAATTTGGTCGCTCTGCATCGTCGAGCTATTGTTTTAGAAACTCAGGAGAAATGCAAGCGGCTAGTAAAGGGTCAACTGAACATGCTCTGGGGGGGTTGTTTTTGCCCCGAGGTGGCGCTAGGTTGTGGTTGCATTTATGGCCTAGGTGCTTGAGATGAGTTGAGTTGTTGCGCTTCATTGTGCTTGGGGAGATTTCTGATTAAATAACTGGGTAAGAGGATAACCTACCCCACAGTGTTGAAATTTAGATTTAGTTGTACTGTGGTGTTGGTGGTGTGTTCTCAAGAGCACTTGAAAGGCCTCCGAACACAGCTGGAATCCATCAATCGGTTTTCTCGAACAAAAGGTGTAAAAATGCTACTAGGGTCTCCAACGCCTTGTTTAGTTCTTCGTTTTGGCTACGCGGGCACTTACGGCCTGGCTATTGGACTTTCACAGGAAGGTCATGATATATGGGCCATGTCAGTAGCCCCCCAGTCCTTCTGCAGTAGTAGTTGTGAATTCTTTCGACTTCAGGAAAGATCTGGGGCCCTGCATTTGTGGCAGCTGAAAGTGTGCACGACCTCAAAAGGCAACTGCCTCAACTTCTATTGCTAAATGTTAAACCTTAACGCTATGGGGGAGGGGCATCTGCTGTAAAAGGGAGAAGCTGTGACGACCCCTAACAGAAGGAATGAAAGTGATGTCCCCCTTCTGCAACTAACCACAGAGCCGTGTTCTGCATAAATACTATTAGCAACTGATTTGTCACTAGCCTTGGCCATGAATCATCTGGCAAAGTTCGTTACGAAGCTGTCAGCAGTACCTCTATGAAGATGTCAAGTGAGTACGCCACAACTTGCCACCTCTCTACTAGCTGGACAGGACCCAGATATATTGAAGTGAAGTAGGAACAAAGTACCAAGGAGAAGCGGGTGCCAAACGCTGTTTCCTCAAAACTATTCTAAACCTCATCCATTACTAGAGGACTCTGCATTTAGGCCAGTATTCTTACCCCTAGCGATGGGCATAGGAGATGGCCAGTGCCCAAACCCTTTCCCAATGCAGTATCCAACCACGACGAAGTTCTTTATCCAGCAAAATAGCTAAGAGGAATCAGTGACGTTGTGGCTAGATAACTTCTCAGCCATGCGCGATTTCGATGCGCAGCTGATTTGTGGGTGTTTTACTTACAACTTCGATCACAGTGTGATGGTTAATGTGGGAAATCACCCAGGGAGAGCTCCGCGGACAACGCTCAAAGGTGTATTTAATCCTTCACTTTGGTTGCGCGGGCACTTAAGGCTCGGACACTGCACTTCCGCAGAGTGGCACATTCTCTGGCCAAGTCGGAGTGCCACATTTATTTTTCACTTTACAATACATCATTTGGATGCCTGCTCGATGGTCGTCCTTTGCAAGTACTGCACTTCAGTTTTGCATGTTGGCTTTACTTAATTCACTAGCTGCAGATATTCCTTATCATCAACGTCACTTCTTTTCAGTTAATTATAGAAATTCGTTTAAAATTGGCGGGGTTGGGGAATGGGACACCTAAGTAGATTATTGTAATACTTATGTTGTTTTAATGTGCCTTTCAGGGAGGAGGGAGGCAGGAAATTCGAACCTGGTAACTGGA